GAGACGAAGTCAGAAATAAATACATTGTACCCATAACCATCTATATATAAGTATGCTATTTCAAGCTGAAATGGGTTTTCAAAATGAGGGTGATGTTGCACGAGTTTGGTCAACACCTGTAATTGTTTAGCTTCCTATCTGTAACTTGTCAGTGTCCAACCCAAGTAATGGATCACCCAACATCTCGCGTCCCAACATGTTCATCCCGCTCACCACGTATGACTGAGTCCAGTATTCTGCTCACCAGTAAATGTGGGTGTTCTCACCCTCATATATTAACCGCTGTGGTTGGTATGGTGCAATTCCCTAAGCTCTCTGACTGTCATATGGGGTTCTTTGATACTATTCAGATTGCTCCTTAGTCTCACCCATATGTTTCACTGTCCTATATAGATGAATGATTTTACTTTTTGCTGTTTCTTTTGACGGATTGGTGAACTCTCTCCTTCTGGCAGTGTTGGCTATCCATAAGCATCGTTCATTTCACCGGGTCGGGCATATCCGATGAAAAACGTCACAATTCGTACTGTACTATTTATGCAATTTAATCCTTTGTATTTACAGTATCGCATTATTATTCCCTAATGTTTGGAGCGGAGCAAACTACCCCCACCCACCTTTTCACTGGGATTCTGAGGTTGCACGTCGCTCAAAACTGCCTTGAAATTTACGTCCGGGGAAAAACATCCTTCATGCATTCTCAGTTTTCTGTCACGACTGTAACCGCGATCTTTCAATTTGCAAGCCGGAATCATTATCCGAATAGCCTTATGGTTTTATATTTATATAAAACATGTACGGTACTTCATATAGTCTGATATACAATCGGAGATGTGAAATAACAGAGGCAAAACTATTTAATAAATTTTTCAAGTATCCGTTATTCTGCTCAAGAACCGAGGGCGTTCAATTTAGCATGTTTACATTCGAGAACTACGGAATCAAATGCGCAAAACCAATTTTAAGTGATGCTCCATCCATTTAGCCATTTCTCAACCGACTAGTATAGTAATGCAACGAAATGTTCTTTCTTGTGTATTTCAGTCCCACATATGCACCTGAGTTTGTTATAAGGCCTTTCTGGAACCAAACGAGAGAAATGTGCGTAGTGTACTTTGAAAGTTGAATAACTCACCTGCAGCTGCGTCAGTTGGACGAGTGTTCGACAAT